TCGTCTCCATATCTTATGCCGCCGCTCATTTTTAAGGGAAAACGCTTACCTTCTACGCTTTCATTTTTTTAAGGTAAACTTTTCAAGTTATAAAACCCTTAAAATAAGAATACGAGCTCACCAAACCTATGATAACATGAATTTCAGAAAATGAACCAATGACTGCTGACTAGTTAGTAAATCTCTTAAGGAAGCATAAAAAAATTACACACAGCATCGGCTAGAAGTGAAATAAAAAAAGAGATGGAGTGTGTATTATTTTTATCAACTACATAATTGTACTTAAAAGAGAAAATATGGTTCTGATTAGTTTAGACGTCTAGATTCCTGATTCTTGTTACTTTGGGTAAGATACGCCAGTGCGATCAGCTGAACAATTTGTTTGTGTACGCTCGTCCAAAGATACAGCTTCCTACAAGCATCAAATAAAAAGCAACATGAACGTTTGATAGCGACACATTAAAGTAATGATGTAATTTGTCGAATTCTGTGAACCAATAAGATAAAATCTTGCTATCTGTCTATTTTTATTTCACTGCAAAAAAAGTGCAGCATCATGCACTGTATGCACAGTCACCGTGTATATTTATCTGTGAGCGAATATCTTTCTTTGAAGCGTTTCTTTGTCTGTTTTCAGATTTCTAATAATATTACAATGCCCGAAACCATTCTCGTTACCGGCGCTAGTGCATTCATCGGCGGCTGGGTTGTCAAACTTCTTCTAGACAAAGGCTACAACGTCCGTGGCACGGTTCGCTCGTCAGCCAAAGAGGCACAAGTACTCGACGCCATTCCAAAAGAGCAACACAGCCAAGTATCATTTGCTCATATTGGTGATATTGCTACTGACTCGTTTGACGAAGCTGTACAAGGAGTCGACGGCATCATTCATGTTGCTTCACCATTCCACTTTAAAGTTGAAGACCCCGAGAAAGATCTGCTTCTACCAGCAATCAATGGCACTCTGGGTGTGTTAAAATCTGCCCACAAATATAATCAGAGCAACCAAAATAAGATCAAACGAATAGTAATCACATCGTCGTTTGCTTCGATTTTAGACCCAAGCAAGGGCAGTCGACCTGGCTATGCTTATACCGAGAAAGATTGGTGTCCTATCACCTACGAACAGGGAGCTGCTGCCAAAAACGATCCAGTCACAGCCTATCGTGCATCAAAAGTCTGTGCTGAACGTGCTGCATGGGATTTTGTCGAAAAAGAGAAACCATCGTTTACGATTGCAACCATATGTGAACCGATGGTCTACGGACCACGTACTGGTGGATTCCACTCATTGGACGAGATAAATACGTCAAATGCCGCACTATGGGCGTTAGTTACAAGTGGTAAAGATGCTAAAATACCCGACACACGCACACCACTCTGGGTCGATGTGAGAGACGTGGCGTATACACATGTGGCAGGTTTGGAAGCAGCAACAAACACGAACGAACGGTATTTGATTGCAGCCAATAGCTGGAGTAATCAGAAAGTAGCTGATATTGTCCATGAAAGCAAGGTCATTCCCCAAAGTATCAAGGACAGCACACCCGTCGGAACAAAAGGTCAACAGTTGCCCGATCACTATACGATTGATAGTTCGAAAGCACAGGAAAAACTGGGTACTACGTATATTCCGCTGAAGAAAACAATCGAAGATTTAATTTTACAATTAGTCGAACTACAGCAGAAGTCTACGAAATAATGAGTGATGTGTTATTAGCTTTAATATTTTTTAGATTAAACGGTTTGATTATATATTTCTTTTACACTGATTCACAATCTGTTTGTTGCTTATTCTAATGAAAAATTAATATATCTAAAGCACCGATATAGAGAATAGTGATCGGTAAACACCTGATGGACACATTCGAACAAAGCAGCATTTCACTTTTAGCATGGCGATCATTCCAAGTCAAAGTGATCCGATCGGATCCAACAACACCCAATGATATTTTCGCATTGAATATCAAATCCTGATATTGGATGTCGAATTGGAAGAGAAGAAAATACTTTCGTGTTTTCTTGGTAAAAAGAGCTTTCCAAAAAGTCTATTAATTTCGTTCGATCCAGAATTAAATTCTGAACATGTTTTTGTTCGAGCAGTTACTCTGTCGGATGCTTGTCGCTAAGATAAAATCTAACTATTGAATTTGACATGCTAGATTGCCATCTCCAGGCCGCGAAGTGAAAATAATTTTTCTGTGTCAGGACGGCCGAACGGTAAGACACTCAGCTGTCAGCCAGTGTTTGATGCACGATCCGGGCATCTTTTCCTTTTTTTTGGAGTCCGATGGTCGACTTCTATGTCGCGGAATGCGCAGGGCTTTTGCTTAATTTAGTGAAGATTTAGTGGTGAATGAATGTTTGAGCTAGATAACTAGGCAACCAGATGTAAAAATTTCCGAGAATCGATTAAGACTAATGATTCTGATTGACTTAAAATACAAAAACAAACTAATGGATGCACCTGTTTTAAATTTCATAACTTACTGCATTAGACGGGTATTCGATTAATCGGTCATTTTCAACTAACTGTATAAGATGAAGACTACATCTTACTTTCTATTTCGTTCTACACAATGACTGCATGTGTAAAGGGAAAAGAAAGAGAAACCTGACATTCAAAAAACTAGAACTATACTTTTTCTTCATGTATATGCACATATATATAAGAAACAAATGACATGATTATTAATAAGAAAAAAAGTCCGAAAATTAGTTCAACAGATTTCACGGGGAAACCGGATTTTGGGCCATTTATTTACTCAACAGATTTTCCCTAAGGCTAAAATTTTATTTCGTCTAAGTTGTTGTGCAAGATAAAAGCCGCGTTTGCTACAATTTTAGAATTCATGGAAGCGCACTATAGTGCCATTTCTCTGTTTCCTGCAGCCCTCCACTCGATAATGAGAAAAAAAGAAAATTATGCTACATGTGATAAAACATGGCTTTGCTAAGCAGCATCAGCTGAAACTAAGCCTGTGATTGTAGACGGTTCCGGTTCTTTGAACGGTACTGCTTTTCAGTTCCTGTTCAATAAACGGAAACGGGTTTTCAGTTTCCGTTCTGAACCAGGAACGTTTCGGCAGTTCACATTTCTAGAAACGAGAAACGGTTCAGCAATTGACTCTTCTAGGAAGTAGGAACGGTTCACCAGTTATGGTTCCTGCGAACGGGAACTACAGTTCTTTTTGAACCGGAAACTGTATGAAATATTTGAGCTTTTTTTTCTAATCTACTAGCGTATCTTCTATTCATATAGTGTAGTGAAATTTTCTTTTTCTTCCAGTTTATAAAAAGAAAGATACAGGCGCACATGACCTTTGTACATAACTATAGGACCTGGACATAATGTAGATGGTCTATTAATCTTTCATGTCGATATTCTTTACTCTTTATTTTTCATTTTATTTGCTGGTCTTTACGACCAATGTTTTTGACACATGCGTAAGAAAATGGCGTAACACGAAATAAGAAAAAGAAAAGTACTGGACGTTCTAAGATTTGAATACTAAATAAAATAGTTAGAGAGGGAAGAATATGGAAAATGCTATACTGGTAGTAGACAAAAACTACTACATTGCATCACGAGCTGAACTCCTCCAACATGCGTTTTTGAACTTAAGCAGTATATCAGGGTCTTAAGAAGTAACGAAGTACATTCAATCAGCAAAGTCTACCACCTAATCTGGGAGTCTCGTTGAGCGTATCTCATTCCAACGTTCACTCTTTCAAAAATCCTATATTTGCGAAATGAAATACATAATATATCAACAAATCACAAAAAGATACTGAGCAGTTTTCAGTTCAAAAGGAACTGTACTTCCCGTTCGCGAAACCAGAACTGATGAACCGTTCCTAGTTCAGAACAGAAACTGAAAAACGCTTCCTTTTATCGAGAAACTGCAGTACACTAGACACAGGAACACTACAGGAACTACGAACTCTCACAGGCCTAGCTGGAACACGCAAAAGTTTAATGTGAAATCTTCATTCTAGGGGTTAGGGAACCGGCTCGATAAACAAACTCTTAAGACTTTCTCATACTCGATAGATCGTAGAATTTCGAAACTAAAGTAGCCAGATATCCCAACGTATTTAGCTCAAAATTCATCTGGACGTCGAAGTAGAAAAAAAAGTGATTTCTTAAGCATTCGGTTATCGACTTGCGTTTTACTTGCTCCATAGCATTCACACGTTTGCTTCAGAATTCCATCAGACCTAACTTTAGTAGTTCAGATTTCCGTAAAAGACAGACTTTAACCTTTGCATTGAAATACGAACTCTCTGACTCATTAACACTACTTTTGAAGATCTTCTTGAAAAATATACAAACATACATCGTACATATTCATGTTGTCACACCAGTTATTCACCTCCGTCGTAGTCGGCACCGATAATTATTCAAAAATAAGGCTTTTTTGCCCTTGGTGGTTTCGCTGAAAATCGCTTTCAGCATTTATTATATAGAAATTGCAACAAGCATAACTATAATTTAACATAATAGGACTCAAAATTAACAGCAAGACATTGATGCTACGTAAAATTGCATTTGTCATCACGAAAACTGTTAAATCTATAAAAAAAACTTGAGTGACCTTGTTAATTTCAAGGCGCACAAATATTTCGTTTCACTTACTATTTATTTTTCGTTCGTAATTTGAAAAATAATCTACGCAGTAGGAAGTTTGCAAAAGTTTTCGACACGTTTAAACGTCAATTGAAAAATTTTTCATTACCACGCGTTTTTTCCTAGACAACGTCAAACTTTTTTAACGCATTGAAGACATTTGTAGTTTCAACGCTTTTAAATGCGTTTATTTTTCGAAAAAAACATTTAAAACTGCTTGCAACGCGTTGAAAAAACACGGGAAACGGCTTCAACGCGTCAAAAATCACGATTTTAAATGCAAAACTCGTAAAAATGAACGCGTTTAAATACGTTGGAACTACAAACGTTTTCAACGCCTGAAAAAAGTTGGACGTTGTCTAAGGGAAAAATGCGTGGTAATGATAAATTTTTCAATCCAAAACTTTTGCAAATTTCTTGCTGTGTATGTATCTTGAACATGCATATACGAAAACAAATCATAATACTTAGAAAAAGTTGCGTAATGAAATTTTCTTAGATTTACCAGATGCGCCAAATCATTTGTACACAAGTGATTTTCTTCGCCTTTCCAGTTGTACGCAGGTGGTAAGTAACGCAAAAGTTTAAGTTTTCGATCACAGCGAAGAAAAAAGTCTTTTCAAATGTCCGGTTCCATTTTTTCGCTGAGACACACTGATTTCTTTGGGCATATGAGAAATCGGGCTAGCCGTTTTTCATTTTAATGTAAACGTTTGATTCTCATTTTGTTTTGTGATGCTAAAATAGGTTAAAAATCACAGAGAATTCATTGCACATATTCATGAGATCTTCAGAGGTTTTCGGGAGGTCTCTGGAAAACTTCCTCTTGAAATACCGTATTTTCACCTATTTAAACGGCCCTCGATCGATCTTGCGCATTGGATCGAAAAGGAAAAGCGAAAGAATTGAATTGGTTAATGAATCAACCATCAAGATGAACAAAGGGGTTCTGAGAGGGCGAATTTTTTTGTAGATAAAGAAATCTATGTTTGAATTACGTCGAAAAAACGTGAACATAAAATTATTCGTCGAGTCTGGAGAGCTCTTGAAGCTTATGCAGAAGGACAAACCTATGAGAAAGTTTTAAAATCTTTTTTTTAGTTGTGTAAGGTGGACGCAGAGTCGCACAGAAAAACTACTAATCTTGATTGTTGAGATATAGTAGCTTTTTATTACTTCATTGACTTTTATTATTTTTTTCATGTTATTTTTTACGTTAAGTATTGTATTTGAAGGCTGTGAACAGAATAAGAACAGAGAACAGATAACAAAAATATAAAAAGTTTCGCGATATCATTGTCTATGAAGGCAGTAGACGAAAATACGGTATATTACGAATAAGTTTTCAAGAGATCTCATGAATATGTGCAATGAATTTTTCATAATTTTTAATTTATTTTAGCGTCACAAAACAAAATGACACATACTCAAAGTACTTGAAGGTTTAAAGACGTTTAAATTGTCAAAAAGCAATAACTGAGAATTTTACAAAATCTTTAAAACTGAATTTACTTTCGATTCTTTATACTTCTGTAAAATAAGTTCAGTTTTACAGTCGATTTATACAAAAACCTCCTTATATCCCATGCAGAAAACTCGTCAAAGCTAGCTTAAGTGAGCTGAAGATGGATGATGCGTTTAACTTCGACCTAATCGCTCAATTAAGTGCCCACTGGATCGGCCGCTTGCAGCTAACAAGTGGGTACTTGCTCGGTGCAGCTAGCTATTTGACCCAAAAATCTACGATTAAGCGGGTGCTTGATTTATTTGATAAGCTAGATTTCCGTGCTCACTCTTTTCTGTCTGGGTATATAAGAACATACCACGCCGAATTTAAAAATTCCAGGTAGGAGCAGAATTTGAAATTGCATTAGATGCTTAAACTTTCAGTACTTGAGAGTACAAAATAAGAAAAGAAACTATACTCAAACGGCTAACATACATGTGCTCTTAAAATTATTGAATATTCAGCTAAAGTTCGACCAGGAGTCATTTTCCGTAAAAAGAGTTAGTGCATGTCCATTTATTGTTTATTAAAAAGATATTGATGAAAATATGCACTGAAATCATGG